TCTGCTGTGTTAATTTACCTTATTCCCGTTTCACTTCTCCCTGTCACCTCCCTACTGTTAAAAGCACTTTTTCAGCCCGTACACCCTCGTCTCTCTCCCAGTCTGAAGAGGACAGTACATGAAGTGCATTTCTGAGCAGAGTTGTGCCATGCAGCTTCTACTGTTTTAAAGTCACCATACAACTGTCAAGTGACCAACAAATTGTCATGCTGTGGTGGTTTTAAAGAGAGATAAAGTCAGTCCTGGGTAGGAGGACATTGGTATGTGACGCCTTCTTGCTTTCAGACTGAGGAAACTAAAATTATTTGCCACATACTGATCTAACTGCTCTGAGAACACATTAAGGCTAATTTCCCAGGTTAAAGAGGTGGTATTATGCTTTTTTGGCTTTTCCCCCTCTCCTTTATTGAGTTATATATCTTTTTTGTGCATGTAACAAGTTTGCAAAGTGAAAAAGCCCAAAGTCCAGCCCAAAGGGAGTTCCCATCTCCCACAGAAAGCTCTGCTCTGAACCGTTTGAAAACAGCCCTTTACTTGTGACGTCACAATGAAAGCGTGTCATAAAGCTTGCCAAGCAGCTTGCGGGGGTCAGGCACGCCCTCAAACCAAGCTAGTCTGAGTGGAGTCCCTTTGACTCCACTCGCCTTTGTCTGGTTTTCCATTGTAGAAATGTTGCACCTGTACCTGCTTCCAGGTACTTTTTTTTCATAACACCTCACCTCCGTCGAGGTTCCAAGCGAGCTGAGGGATACTAAAATGAAAACACGACAGACTGCTGATTGGTCAGAGAGAATCGTCACTATTCACTGCATCATCATTGCGTTCACCAGACAGAGGCCAGCAACAGAAAGTTTTATATTTTACAGTTTTCGTATGGAATTTCATCACTAAATCCACTTCTGAGAAGTTTTTAGGTGAGAAATCAGCTGTGTAGATTTCGAATGTTGACAGTTTTACGAGAAGTGATGGCGGAACAAAAATGTGCTTGTATATTTTCGGAGTTGAGGAGCTCCGCAAGTGGCTGCGAGGGAAGCCTGTGCCAACCCACGGGAAGAGTGTGTGAGGCCGGCCAGCCGCCCGCTCACAGAGCCCTCTGCTCCCGCCGTCACACAGACCGCTGCAGCAACAACGGCAGAGGAAAACACAGCTGGAAGGTTTTCATACCGCTTATCTGTCTTTACATTCTGAGTAATGTTGAAACGTTTTAACTTTAAAAAGCTGTGTGGATCGCTGGTGTGTGTGTCGCATTGAACATTATGTTGCGGCAGTTGTGTGTGGCGTCGCTATGACGACAAGCTACGTACTATCTCTGGGTACTATCTGCAATGGAAAACGGAGCAGGGCCAAGTAGAGTCGAGTCTATCGATTTGTGCTATGGTAGCATTTTTCGGCAAGGCAGCATAGATCGTCAGAACACCGGCAACAGTTCAACGTTTAGTCCTGATGGTAAGATGTGGAACAATGATGTTGTGTGGTTGTGGACTTGTGAGTAACTTATACCATCTGCTAGGTTACGGTCGCAGTCTGAAGCAGCTTTGCTTTGGATCACATTACCTTGTTTCTTACGACCCGTCCTTCTCTGCTTCTGATTGGCTAGTAGTCTTTACCTGGGAACTGCACATGTGCAACTCCCAACAAAAATTTTATACAAGTAAGATGCATCACTCTGTAGCTCAAGAGTGGAGCGTACAACACATAGGGTGAAAAGAGGAGCTGTGAAAGCTGTCACACAAATCCAATTTAACGTGAACTTAACGTGATTTCCATATTATTTAGAAAAACACATTACCTGAGATTTTCTAAATTATATGGAAATCAATTGGTTTAACACATTACCTGAGATAAACCCATCTTCCCATCTTCCCACATTTTTGGTTCTACAGGCTTTCAATCTGGTCAGCCATCATGGCAGCAGTAGGTTTTACTTTTTCACAGAAGCTGCAAAAACAAACTACATGACGGACTGTCAGTAGCAATACTGTAACAGAAGGATTGATTAGTCTGAGGAAGAGACCTCTGGCACTAACTGATATATGTGATGAAGACCAAATCAAACAACTAGTCCCCACAATATACAAAAACATTGATGTGGCTTGTGTGAAAAGACATTTGCTGTATTGCAATCACTACCTATTTACTATCTATCACACTACACACTGCATTCAACCTCAATATAGTGTAAAATACACGATATAGCAATTTCCCCTCTAAAATTCACACATAGCAACTAAATAAGAGATGGAACAAGGGCCGGAAAACATTAAAAAAATGGGACATTATGCTTCTGACATGTGTAAATATCTTCAGAGACCAGAGTGAAATTACTCTTAATTGCCAAAATGTGGTGATTTCTCACAGTTCTAGATAAATTAATCATTTGTAGGAGCTCATCCTGGTGAGACGAGACTCAAGCAAACTTTTTGTTTTGGATGATGTGATGCACCAGGCAGGCATTCAGACATGGCCGTTATTTAATTAAATTTGCGTGGGTGCTATCATGCATAAAGAAACAGAATGAAAAGGAGGAATACAAAGCACACTGCAGACACCAAAGTAAAATGTCTGCCTGTGAAATATGCTTACAGGTTACCTGAGCACTTGAGTACTTTATATTATGTACAGTATAATATACTTACAGCAGAGAGACTATATAGAGACTACTACTAAATTGGCAAAGTGATGCCTCCTTAAGCCCCAGAGTAACTATGACCTTACACAACCTTGGTAACCATAGTAACATACGGATATAAGTTTGTGAAGTGTCAAACCTGGTGTGACAATTACCAAAGCAGTCTTTATACAATGAAAACTGTCAACAGTCAAACCAAAAGACACAAAAAGACATATTTAATCATGCTCATCATGCTAAATGTATTAAAATATGTTCCTAATGCCACAATGTCTACATACTGTTTAACGCAACTATCCGCCCAACTAAGACAAAATTATGCAGAAAATACTGCCATACATCATTTTTTATCTCTTGCAGCTGTAAGGCCTGTGTAAATCCACATGCTACACTTCATAAAATGTGACATAAATCCAATTGAATGAAGTTATGATATCCTGGAATCTGGTTGGCTATGATCTTATGAATTATTCCGATGTAAGGACCATTCACATTTTCATCAGATCGCTCACGAGTCAAATTTCCCAGTGAGCACTTAAGTGTGATTCATTACAAGTATATTTCTGTGTGTGTGTGTGTGTGTGTGTGTGTGTGTGTGAGTTGTGTGTTCTCTGCAAGGTTTCCTCTTGAGAGCCGTGTATTTATGAGACTCTCCAGTGTATTTCTAATGGATTCATTACCTACTTGACTTACACAGTAGGTGTTTGTGTGTTTTTGTTCATGCATGCTTGTGTTAGCACGTGTGTTTCTGTGTGAGACTGTGAGTGGAAGCATACTGTATGCTTGCTCCCTCTCTCGGGACTATGACATTATTTTTACTTTTTGAAGTGACAATAGAAATGCCTCCTGTTGAGAAAGTGAAGAGTCTTAATTTTTCATGAGCACTTCGAGCACATGTGTGAATTATTGATGTCAATCTTCTTCAGAGTTAAGAAAAACCCCTATAAAGGCTTCATTCAGAAGTAAGTTGGTGGTTGGTGAACCATAACTTGCCTAACTGGCAACCGTCGTAGATTGCAATTGATGACCGCACGCTCACAGTAGTAATATGACTCAATTAAGCCCTTTTCACACATTAATGTTGACCTGTTAAAGTTATGTGCTGTGTTGGTTTCAGACATAGGTCACTAGTGGCAGGTGAAAAGTGACAAGTGACAGGACCGTTAGAGATAGAGCGGCGCTACAGCCCTGCTTTCCTCCTGAGCACGGTGGAAGCTCTGCTGAAGATCAGGAGTGAGTGGTAAGTAATGTCATCAGGAGAAAAGAGTGTTAAAATAAAACTTATTTGCCCTTTATAAGACGATGCGCTTCATGGCTACCTTAGCTAGCAGTGTTTGCTACAGGTTTGATGGTGCTGACTGAAATTTATGCTTAAAAATTGCTTCTGTAATTTCAATTCAAGCCTTTTAAGGCCTTTTTGTAGAAAACTGAATTCAATGCTTTGAAGGCCTGCAGATACCCTGTATTAAATCTGATGGAACCCCTTTTGTGCAAAAGAAATCCTCATTAGGCCTATATGTGATATTTATAACACTGCTGTCAGAAATAGGCAGCCCATTTAAAGGGCTAGTACAGCGATGTAGTACTGCATTTTCATAAAGATGGGCAGCAGAGCTTGTGTTATCTTTTAGGGTCAAGCTTCCACACAGATCCCACAGTTCTCACAATGCAATATAATTCAAACTCCACCCTCTGGGTCTCAAGCAGGCGGAAATGTGTTGTCTTCTTTACAGAAAGAAGTGCACGTCTCAAAGGGGCTCTAGAGAACATTCAGTGAGCAGGTTTGCTTCACAAAGCAGTAAGTGTGTGTGTGTGTGTGTGTGTGTCATTGTACTTGTCCTCATTCACATGTCAACAGTGCAATCAGCAGTGTCTTGCATGGACAAAAAGGGTTCATTTAAAGGCCGGTGATGATGCAAGGTTGACTCAACCTCATACCTGTCTCTCTACTTCATTATCGTAAGGAGACAGAGCTCTTCTGTTGCTGTTTACCTTATGAACAAAATACGAGGGGGAGCAAGGGCTGGGAAATATTCAAAAAAGGGTCATTTTACTTCTGACATGTGGAGTTATCGTCAGAGACCAGAGTGAAATGGCTCCTAATTGCCAAAATGTAGTGATATGTGAAATCTAGTTTTAGATAAATTAATCATTTGTAGGTGCTCATCCTGGTGAAACGATACTCAAACAAACTTTTTATTTAGGATATGATGCACCAAGCTGGCTACCACACATGGCCGTTATTTAATTTAATTTGCTTGGATGATGTGACCAGAAGAAAAGGAGGAATACAAAGCACATTGCAGACACTAGCCTTCTTGTCACTAAGGTAAAATGTTTGGCTGTGAAATTTGCTTATACTGCAGGTTACCTGAGTGCGGTGCAGAGCCTCCACGACTATAGAGGGGAGGAGCCTGAAAAGCGTAAACGACGTCGCTATCAGCAACTGCTGTCAGGTCATCATCATCGGAAAATGAACGCTGGAAACCCGTGGAGTACAACTCTGATAGGATGACCTGAAAAGAGACCGCAAGAGAGACACTGTGAACTTTTGTGCCTACAGACGCGCCTGAAGCAATCCTTGCAGAGCTGAACCAGATTTATTTTCCTATTTGCTGCAAACCAAATTACCCCACAAGTGACAAAAATTAATTCAACTCAAAGTGACAAAACAACAACATTGAGCCACAATGGTACAGTACCAGAACTCACTCTGAGATCACTTGCATAGATGCATGACTCACAGAAATAAAGCAACAAAGTTACTGTACGCAGGCAACCTCAGAAAGGAATTTAAAAAACTAGGGACATTTGTAATCAGCTCAAAAGAAATCAAAGTGAACCCTAAAGGTTGCTGCTTTAAATCTTTATAAATAAATAATAAAATGCAGCTTCTACAAGACTAAAGGAAATTTCTTAAACAAGCACAAAAGCCACAACTTGGCAAATGAAATACATGAAAATTCAAAACATGAACATCTGCAAAGGGAATGATATTAAGGACGAGTTTCTTTTTAGAATTTATCTATCAGAGATGTGGATTTCCTAGTTTCATGTTTTAGTCAAGCTGTTCAGAGCCCCGACAGTGAAAGAGAAAAATTGTATCAAGTGAGAAGAGCTGTGAAATTCTCACTGCTGTATATTTTGTGCTTGTAAGAATTTGAAGTGCAGACTGTATTTGAAGTGTGGGCTTCTTTATTTGTGTCTCTTATACCATGACCACAGATAATACTTACTTGTGATTGACAGGCAGGTGCCCTGTTAAATGATTTCAAAGTGCCAAATCTGTGTGAAAGGATTATTAAACTGCAGGTAACCACAGCAACAGTACTCTTAGGTATGTTAACTTTCACTTGTGAAACAGACTGAACCATGAGTTTAATTTACTAAAAAAGTAAAAGTTTTAATAATGGATGATGACAAAATGTGACAAGTGGCTTTGGTATGTTGGACTTGTCTATGGGCAGCCTTTTATTTTTGTATGTTAGAAAAACAACTTCATCATGTTTCAGTATATCTGTAAATGTTGAAAACATGCTGTATTAGTTCTTAAATAGAGAAAAGAATAGAAGACATGAAAAGGATGTAAGACAATTAATATCACAGCTGAAAACTGGCTCAGGAACTTAGTAGATGCTTAGATGAGGGAGACACTGAAAACATGAATGTGGTACAACAAAGAAATTTAGTATGGAGGTCCAACATACACACACACACACACACACACACACACACACACACTTTTATTATACTCTAATCAAATATTCTTCAAAGACAATTTACAGGGTGGGAGATAAGGATACAGATAAAAGGCAAAAAACAAACTGTTCCGTGGCTTTCTGAAGTTATCACATAGTGTGTGTGTGTGTGTGTCTGAGCACTCCCTGTTGGGTTCGGTCAGACCAGAAATTCCTCTGTCCGATGACTTGCTTTTGCCAAAGCCGCAGGCAAAGAAGTGAAAACCACCATCACAGTGGTTACACATACATCCGTTTTTGTCCTCACCTGCCCTTTTGTACTTTATTTCCATTTATGCTCCAATACTTTGTGCAAACTCTGAGTTTTGCTGGTAGGTATTCAATGTAGAACCAATAAGGGCGATAAAAGGTGTCCGTTTTCCTACCCTAACAAATACAATCAAACTAACAGAGGAGAAAAACCTAAGAAGCATCCAAGAAAGGTTTGTGAAGGAAGCCTTGGTGTAGCTTTTCCTCAGAGGGCACTGAGACAAGAGAAGGGACTGAGGGCAGACACGGATGTTGGTCAGGTTGGCACAATATAACTATTGGAGTAAGCTACTATTACATTTACTCTACTTAAATAATGGAATATTGTCTTGGAACTGTGGACATTTCTATGTATTTTTTTAACTATTTCTAAACACAAGCATGGGACGAGCTCACCTGCAGTCATATGTCATGAGCCTGTGTCGATGTGTTTGTTCCGCACTGTGGGTTTAATTAAGCAAAGTGTCTAAACTTTCACACAGGCCCGAGTAAGAAAAAGTAAATAAAAACACATGTGTGAGTAGACCATAGGAGAAGCAACAGCTTAACGAAAATATAATAATGATAAAAAATATAATATAATATATAAAGAAAATCTCACCCTGTGAACTGATATTAATTTCCTCACCAGGAAACCAGGGAAACTTAGTAATTAAATTAAATAATTAAAATAATTAAATTTCCTGTTTAATTGTACAAGTATAATTAAATTTCCTGTTTAATTGTACAAGTATCCTAAAAGCTTCCATTTCCAAACTATTTTATTATGCACAGCCACCCACACAACTAATTTAGGGTCTATTAGCTGAATGAAAAAAGGTGTCTACCCCATAGAAAACCACAAAACATCAAACTGAAGAACTGTGACGCATCAATCCTGACATAAAGACAAAAAGAAATCATCATCACATCCTTCTCTCAACTAGGAACATTATTACACTATTATTACAAAAAGATTGGCCTCCTTTACTAGACAATGTATATCAGAAAACATTTATGGTACTTCTAATTGTGGCACAAATGCATTTTGACAGGTAAATTTGTTCTATAATGATAGTGGAACCATACATCCATGAATCAAGACAAAAAATGTATTTTCTTTTTCATGGACTATTTTGAGTCTTTGCAACTCCTTTATTTTCCTAAGAAAGATCCAGCAGTATTCATCATCTTTTGTAGGGCAGGTGGAAGACTGATAAACATACGCCTCTGGAACCTTTCTCTTTACCCTTGCTCATGGTGTACACATGCATTCAGGTGTTACCCTGCTATAATAGAGAATTCTATTTGATATTTTTGATATAATTTAGACACTCTGATGAAGCACAGAATTGATCGGGACAGCTGCTTTACTCCAAACAGTTTCACTGTATGAACCTGGACTGTGTGTGAGTCCTTTTGGACGTGTAGAACACAGAACATAAATTAACATTAGATCCTGACCGATCCTGTCGTGGTTTCGGGAGATTTTAATAATCAGTTAAGTTACTCTGCTGCCTAATTGACTCTAGAGTGCAAGATAGGGCCCTTAGTGTTACTAATAACATTGATGATGGCTCAGTTCCATTAAATGTCCGACTTAACCATGTCACTTAGCCAGCATGCACAATACCAGAACCCTGGACACGGCTCATCTAAATGGCATGCATCCATCTCAGGGTTAAGGCTTAGGTTAGGGTAAGGTTTAGAGTAATGCAAGTAGTGGTTATGGTTAGGGTAAGACTTCAGGAAATGTAAGTTCATGTAATGTCCTCTAAAGTGATGGAATCACGACTTGGTGTGTGCGTTTACCTGGTCTGGGGAGATGTTGCCCTCCTCTGCCACCATGGTTCGCAGGCAGGACAGGGGACCAAAGAGAGGTACAGCCAACCCTACCCGCAGGTACCTTTGACCCTTTGAACTGAACACCAGCGTCACACATATCGGCCTGTGGGGAAAATAGAAAAGGGGGTGAAGGAGGGAGGAAGGGTGGGGAAGTGTCCATGTGTGTGTGCGTTTGTGTATGTAAAGGAGGGAGGGATAGGAAGACAAAGAGGAGGAAGATAGATGACATGAGCAAAGTGCCAAATTGTTTTGCAATTCTGATTTTGCATGTTTACATTACAGATTCCAAATACACCCTGGCATACAGAGTTATTTACATCTTTGTACGCAGACACACACACACACACACACACACACACCGGGTGTTATGCACCTACTGTCTAAAGACAAACATATCAACCAAAACCAAAAAGAGAGAGTGACGCCAGGGGCAACAAAATTCATGTTGTCAGTTGGTTCAAGAGCTTAGCCGATTCTTGATATATTTCAGCTGCTAAACAGCAAAACAAAACATTCACTAAAATGAGACTCTGAAATGTACTACTGAGCATTTTAATATTTAATAAGTTTGGGGACAAGATTTCCTGTGACAATACTGTTGTACAAAAACTAATTTCATGAGCATAACCCACTGGTTTGTCTGTGTCTGACTTAATATCTCAAGTCAATTAACTATTTTCAGATGTTGCCTTGTAGCGTCTAATTTTTCTCTTGTATGCGTGACTGGTCATAATGTGCTAAACCAGCACATTGGTGATGGTCATGCAGAACCTGCTGCTGTATGCTGGGACACGTCTGATTTACAGCAATCTGAACCTTCTGTAAGGGACGCAGGGCTGGAAATTAAGATTAGATCTGTAACTGAGGACGGAGTTTGATGAGAAGATGAGAGAACAGAAAAAAGAGCAGAGAGTGGAGAAAGAAAGAAGCGAGACACGAGTATTGATGAATAGAGAGAGCGGAGACAGAGTAAGGTCTCGCCTTCTCATTTGGGATGAAGACGGTGTAATCGCTGACACCTCAACTTCCTGTTTCCCATCATGCATAATTCAGGTGAGTAATGTGTTAGCAGTGGGGAGGCTGACAGGGCAGACAGCGGAGGATCTGAGCAATTGTTTTATTTACGTCGTTAGATGCTTTGAGATGAGACACCGGGATGTGAAATGAAACAGGATGAGAGGTGTGAGATGATACTCAGGAGGAACAGGAAATAGAGATGTCATCTTAAAAAGCACAGGTTTTTACAGCCTACTCGCCTACCCACTGCTGGTTTGGAGCTCAATAGTCTCTATTAAACAGCATCTCTCATATGTTTCCACAAGAAGCACCAAGAGTGCCCGCTGCTATTCAGGTCATTCAAAGCTATGTTAGAGCCAGGATCATGCTCAAACTGCTAACAGATTTAACAACCTTAAAAGCGTTTCTGCATATTTAAAATGAATCCCATTCAAATCGTCTAGAAAATGATCAGTCTATGCGACTTGTAGCATCATGTTTACAGATGGTTTGAGTGAGGTATAGCACAGTGTTAATATATTATGCCAAAATGTGATCTTAATCCCATAGTCCGCAGCTGTTTGCTCGGGAGGCAGTTTTTTTTTTTTTTTGCATATTTAATGTATTGGAGTTCATTTTGTTGCACTGTATTTTATATCCCACTTACTGGCACTGTTAAATGTCTGCATCACTGATCGTTGATTAGGCGACGAATCATTAATTTAAGTTAATTTCACATCTTGGACTGTACGTGATAATACAAACAGATCTTTGTATAGAACGTTTGAAAATCAGTTCAAATATCTGCCATATATGTTTTGTATATAGTCCAACATATCCACAAAGGGGGAAACATCATACAGGCTGCATGCATTCAAAGCTTGAGTAACCTTTTTGCCCTATTATACTATTGTACCTACAGTACTCATGCAGAATGCTTTACAAATGCCCAGTGACACACACTGACTTTATTAACATTACTGAATTAGTCACTGACCTGTCACTAACAAGTATCTATCCAACGTTTTTTGACTTTGAATATTTTAAATTGTCATAGAAAAATAACCTTAGATACAGTAAAGTAAGCCTGACTGTGACACCCTCTGTCCTTAGACCATCGATTCGGGAAAAGGAAAATCCCCCCCCCCCCAAAAATGAATTAAACTTTGGGAGGAGAAACAGAGTATAAACAATCAATATGAAAAAATTATAGATAGACTGTGGACATACAATTTAACTATAATTTTTGGAGAAAACACAGTCAGAGACACTGCCACCCTCCTTTTCTCTCTGCCACAATGGCATTATCTGCAGCACCCAGACCTCAGTTCTACGCTGCCAGTCAAACCCAACTATGTCTCTGGGGGCCTCAGACGTATCAGATATTCTGCTGGGATCATGCTACAGTGTGTCTGGTCAGTGTGGGTCCACATCGAACCTGAATGAATTTCTCTCTGTGCTGGGCTCAGACAACTGCAGGGACAGACCACACATTGTCAGAAAACCTATACTGTAAAACTGAGTTTGGGGTTAGCACTGTGGCAGGCATGCAGAGAGGATGCAGAGAGGATGTGTCTGCATGCTTGAAGATAGCAGGATTCACTGAACGTCGGCAAATCATAAAATCATATGAATGGAATTCAACTGATAGCTGGGCAGAGAGGGAAAGGGGATAGCCTGAGACAAAACCTACAATCACTACATTTACATCCACACTAATTTTCAGAATATGACAATAATGAATCTAAGAAGGAATATTATAAAAATATTATATATAAAAATTTAATATTTTGGGCATGTTAATATAGTAACTGTTGTGGTTACCCAGCATGCTTTGGTCACCAAAATGCTCCCCATTCAAGCCCCTGCATACCTAAACAGGTGGGTTCAATTATTCTGGCTGATTAGACTCAGCTCAAACTCAGCTCAGGTGTAAGTTGGGCCATTGCTTTGATGGAAATTCTGGTAAATAGGGGGTCTGTGGGTCCTCCCCCAGAAGATTTTGAGTATTAAACACTTAATTTCCTGAATTTTGGAGCGATTTTCTGCACCAATTTAAGGTGGAAATGTCTTTATATTTATAAAGGGAAGGACAAAATTTAGGTGGCAGGTGACATAAAAAATATAATAGAATTTAAAGCCCAATATAGGCCTATGCTTTATGGGCTGATCGTTGGCCCATTTTTTAAAAACAGTTAGGCCTATATAAATAAGTAATTTGACTTGTAGCCTACTCGATGAGACGAGCGCACTGCTCTTCATCAGAGGAAGAAAACCGAAACTGAAAACACTTGTGATCAGACAGCAATATCACCACAATTCCACACTAATGTTCACTTCAGCACTTCTGAACGACTGTTAACCGTTTGTGTAGCATATACACTGACTAGACACTGACCGACAACATTTATATTGAAATGTATTGATTACAATTTTGCTAGGGACAATTCAGAAGACACAGATAGGCCCTGAAGCTGTGAGCAATGCTCTCTCTGTCTCTCTCTCTCCTCTCGTGCTCCCTCTAAATGCAGGCAGGCTGAGTAACGGTGGGGGGTCACGTTACGTGAACTTTAAAGAAAATGTAGCAATATTATTGCGAGTAGCCTCCGCTCTTTGAAGACCTGTGAGAGAGGCTGCATCATGAAGATTATTGCATATTAACATAGAAAATATTTTTGTTGCTGAGTTACATTCGGGGCTACAGTCAAAAGCCGCGGAAAAATTACCTGGCGACGCCGATGGTCAGGGAGTTTTTATGGACAATTTATGTTTGTGCAAATGTGTGCATACATGTGTGTTTGTGTAATCACATTTGTCAAATGTAATTTAGAAACGTGTGCTTTTACAGTACAGCTATCCTTCTGCTATATTAAGTAGACTAGATGATCACATCCATATCACTGATATCAGGTGACAACCTCATACATCCAGAGTGTTGACTTTCCAGCAGCTAATAAAAGCTTTTGCTTGACTAAACAGTTTTGTGTATGCACTGGATGCATATAGTAGAATATTCTCAACATATACACTAAACACATCTTAGCTGTTTTAATAAATATACTTTTGACTTTATCACTTGTCGTGTGTGTTATACTTCACCTGGTTTGTCGTAGGGGAATAGGCAGGGAGATACATGAAAATGGGTCAAAGGTGTTGCTCTGCTTAAGGCAATGAGGGCACGTAAGAGAGGACCTGGAGACAAACAGAGAAACAGAGCAATTTTAATAATTTCTGCTACATACAGTAAGACCTCAGCTCACCGTATACTCTGTGTTTAGACAATCTATAAAGAAAGAAATATAATTTTCACTCTCCATAATATCCCGTTCTCAATTTTATCCTGCTTCACTCGATTTTGTATGTTCACATCAGACCATTGCAGTCACAAAGCTCACATCCCTTAAATATTCCAAAGACAACGGCCATTGGAGAAGAAAGCTCTACCAACTTTACATGAATTCATTGGAACAATTAAACAGATGGATTGACCAATATCACCATCCCTACATGCCAAATCCTCACATTTCTTCTAATATGCGCAGTAGAGATTCAAGTGTCTTATGTGCTGCGTGTAGTTAAAACCTCCATGGTGGTTAAATGTGCATATTCCATGTGGACAGTAGTGAATACTAAGCACTGAAACAGGCCATCTGGACTCCATTTGCTGTTGAGAAAAGGGCGGCAAAGCAACAGAGGTGGGATGCTGTTCTGAATTTTGGCACAAAAAACAGAGTGAGGCAGGTGAGATATTGCAGAAAATATAAAAAGGCTGTATTCTAAAGCACATACTGAGCTGGAGAGGAGAAGAGGAGAACTATGCAGAGAAGAAAGTAGAGAGGACAGGTAAAAGATGAAAGGTGGTGGGGATATTTAAAGGCAGAGAGGATAGTAAAAAAATTAGTTAAGCTAAAAGGAACAAAAGTGGAGAAAAGAGACTGAGATGAGGGGAAAAACAACAAAGTGCAGTGCTCAGGGGGAGGACAGATTAAAAATCAAAAGAAGGTTGGCAGCAGTCGAGTTGACAAAAACTAGAAAGCAAAGCTGATATAGAAAAAGACATGGACAGGACACGTCAAGGTCTTTGAGCCGATGGGAGTGTAGCTGATCAGAGTGGAGGAATGACATGAGGATTAAAAAAACTAAGGATCCCAACCTTTGGGCTGGTCTCAGCAAAAATCTGCAGCCAAATACAGTTTTCTAAGACAGATAGTACTCTGTGACCTCATGATGATCTAGAGGAAAACAGTAATAGTTTTTGGGAAATGTGCTTATTTTCCTTCTTGCTGCAAGTCAGATGACAAGATCAATACCACTCTCATGTCCTTGCGTTCAATATGTAGCTTAGCTTAAAGGCTGCAAATAGGGAAATAGCTACAAAATAACTAGCGCCTACCAGCAGCTCTAAAGCTCACTAATAAACATGACATGATCTCCTTAATTTACACATTACAATTTGTTGTTTTGCATGGGGATATGTATGGCTTATGGATAAAACAAACAATAAGTTCATTTATGGCCTTTAGAGGTGCTGGTGCAGAATTTGTTATCATTTGACAGAGCCAAGCTAGCTGTTTCGCCTTATAACCAGTATTTATGCTAAGATAAGCTAATTGGCTGCAGACTGTACATAAGAGATATCTTCTCATCTAACTCTTGGCAAGGAAGTGAATTCACAATCAAAATGTTTATTTATTTCTTTAAGATATAAATGTACATAATATTAGCATTGCCGTAGGCTAACAAGCTCCTTTTGTTGCTCTATGACATGGGGTTAAGTGTTATTGGGTTTGTAGTAACATCTGTGTACCCTGGTGTCAAGCCATTTCCTCGCTATGTCTTTGCTGCAAATACTACCAGGAATCCCTCAAAAGAGTGTGTGATGGAAACAAATCCAACACTGTGCGGGGGGTGGATAAAAATTAGCCTCAAATAACCTGTTGTCCTTCCCTAAACCTAGCTGTAATCTTGCCTTTTCATATGGCAATCAAGTGAAAACACCATGCTCAGTTTGTTTAAGTGCCACATAATCCTCTCATAGTGTAGGAGCATAATCCTTTTATTGATGTGAGATCATTTCATGTAATTCAGTGGCTGTATTGCCTTACGTGTACTCATTTTGAAGTTTTAGCCAGTATTAAAGCACCCATTCAAACCACAAAATTCTTTATTCAACAAACTTTCTATTGAGGCATCTGAGTTACCCATTTGTCTCCATCAGAGGGAAATCTGTTATCCTTTATATGATAATAAGATTTAAGCAAGCTTGAAACTGCTGAAGTAGGATTGAATAGGATTTCAACTGTGTTCATTAGTACCCAAGTACAGTTATATAAAAGTAGTTTAAATATGAAAAATATGTGGAGATACAGTTGAATGAGTTTTTAGTGTACGTTCTGATGCGCACCAAAAACCTTTAAAGCAGTTTCTTGACACCGATATTGATATTTATTTTTGCTGTTGTTTGTTTGTTTGTTTGTATTTGATTCTTGAAGAAAATTATTGCAATGTTGCTACATAATTCTCTCTTATCGGTGACAGTTTTTAGTGTGTGTGCATTTAGCTGTGTGTGTGTGTGTCGCCATATGCTTATTTCATCTCTCAGTGTCTCACTATCATTTCTGCCAGTTGAGCTGTATCCAAGTTTGTGGAGATACAAACTTGTCAAATGTACTTGTGCTGGAAATAATACAGCAGTTTTCAATCTCCACATTTCCCTGCTGTCACTGTTGTAACCATTGTGCCGTGGCAGCCAGTCCCATTTTCTCTAATGATGCCAGTTTGTACTCAGTAAAGTAGACTGACAGGCTGTATTCACCCGCACATACAGAACACACACACAACTCTGGTGGCAAATATAAAATATGTAGTGCTGCTGATGTTTGTGTGTGTGTTTGTGTGTGTTTGTGACAGACAGAAAGCAAGGGTTATACTGTGTGTACAACGTTCAGGTGTCACACCAAAAGACCACCATCCCTTAGTTTAGACCGGATACCTGTAGCTGCAACGCATACACCCACAAACGCGCACATGCACAGCACAGCACAGCAGCTCTTATTTATCAGAAAGAAAGCCGGGCTGCTCAGCAACCTTCCGTTCTGCTCTGAGCTAAAAAAATAACACTCCACACCAGCAGCATCTCCAAACATTATGCCGTATCACGTTGCCGGATTCCAGCATTTTTTATTCTGTTATTCTAAACTGAGAAGCTTTGAAACACAATACAGGGGATGATGTAGGTGATGTGGATGTATGCATTTCAAAATAGGTCATGATGTTGGCATTTCATACATGCTCTATGAAAGTTATGTGACTTATCAATTATGTTAACAGAGATATGTACTGATGTTGTCAGTGTTGCAGAGTCTGCTAGAAATAAAAAATTTTGATGGCCCATGGAGAAATCTACTACTAATTTATTTGTCTACGTTTGGCTGGATGAAACCTCCAGCCAAACGTCTGTATGAAAACGCATCTGAGGGAATGTCTAGTATTTATATATTCTCTTTCATTAAAATTAACTGACACTAACTAATAATTTAACATTATGGTGGTGAATAAAACTGTGTAGGTCATTTGTAGCAATAGATGTGTCAATTTTTGCGCATGCGTGAGATTTGACGAGGTGCAGGACTGTTTGTGTACTAGGGAAGATTTTTCACAGTCGATGAAATTTAATTTTAAAAAGTACATAAAGACAAAGCTGTATAAATTGCAGAGAGTTTATACACATACAAAAACCCTGCCAATGTGAAAAAAATATTTAGTTAGTTTAGTAGACATACTGCCAAGTGGAAGACAACAGTTTTAGTGAAGTTTGGTAACAGCTGGAATTCCATCTGTTCCTGTTTGCCTAGTTCTCCAAAATAATCCTGGGCACAGCTTTGGTTCCGCACCAACCAAACTTAAATGTTCTTGTCAAAGAATGCTGATTGTTTAGTCACTGCAGGCTTGACCTTATTTAAGGAGTAAACGGTGTCAGCCAACAGCTCTACAGACAGTGATGGATGGAAGCCTGGGCTCAGGTGGAGACACAGCCCGAAAACAACTAAACAGATTTTGCTGCTGGTAGTTACACTGTGAGGAAACAGAACTATAAAACATATAGCTAAAAAGAAAGTGTGCTTTTAACAAAACCATTTCCTGTAGCTTGAGTGTTTCATTTTATTTGTTGTTAAATATTATTGGAGAACTGTGGAAAACTTCAGATTCACCTTCAGTAACCACTATTTCCCACAATTCAATCTCCAGAAATAAAGGCCTAGAATATTGCAACACTTTAATCTACTTTCTCTTGCGAGTGCCAAAAAAACCCCCACATCTTCATACCACTGAGAATTCTTCATGATGTTATACGGAGAAACATGTTTCACAGCCAAGAAAAGCAAACCAGACGAGACAAAACACACCATAAACAACAGCACCAGATGCACTGACGCTTTGGCAAGTCTAAAACAATGTGTGTAAACATTTTTTTACTTACTGAATCCCCCCCAGGTAAGTGTTGTGTGCAGAATACACATTTATAGCACCTGGCTAGATTGTTACGGGCAAAGCATCAGTTCACATTCATTCATTCTCGGGCTTGTCCTGCATTAAAGTAAGTGTCATGTTTACAGATATCAAAACTCCAGATCTGATGCAATGATTCTTGGGAAAATATAAAGGAGTAAAATGTGACCTGAACTCTATTCTATGAATAAAACCCGCTTGCATTTGTTTTGTTTTTTCACTAGATACTAGCATCCTTAAATTTCCTAATGATCTGTGTGCATGTGCTTTACCATACAGTGCGTTAAATTATACTATATACCTTTCTCACAGCAGACATTTTGACCTTTAATATGTAGCTGTAAGTAATACTATTGATGGCTCTGTTCCATTTAATTGTGAAGTTAACCAACATGCACAGTGCAAGAGCTGTGGGATTGGCACACCTAGTTAGAATGCACCTATTATTGTTATTAGTTACACCTGCGTTTGACATGACAGAAACCGTGTGAAAACAGGTGACCAGAAATTTAGAACCTGTAACCACACTTGCCTGTAGTTATATCTAGGCAAGCATCTATGCTTGTTTGGTAGTCTTATTTGATGCAACAGTAGTCCTCTCGCCAAGTAAGGAGACTCAGTCTTAAAATATTAGTGTTTTTATCATCACCTAAACACAACCACAAACTTAGAGCTGCATTTTT